ACAAGTAAGCGGATTGTTAAAGCTTCAAAATGTAAGCTCTATGGTTAAGGAGTTCTCTCCTATCTATGTTCTCTACCATGGTTAGTAAACTATGGTTGATATTGTATGATTGTCTTCTGATACTTGGCATAGATGCATTTATATGAAGTTATATGATAATATGATATGTTTTGTTTAAATGTGATTACTGTGATGATTATTAGCCAATAAATTTATGCGTACTGATTTTCGCTTAGGGTTATCCCTTGGGATTGACTGTGTACCCTCTATTGTGTGTTAAGTTTCGCTTGGGGTCCACCCTTGGGAACACGTGCGTCGATTTTCACTTGGGGTCCCCCCTTGGGAATGATGGCGTACACCTCTAATATTATATATGAATATGCTCAGTTCTATTATAATATTTTTTATATGATGCTTTGTATCTGAATTCATGCAAGGAGTGGGCCCAGGGTATGGAGATTACTCTATAAACCTGGAGCTTACTGAGATTTGTTATCTCACCCCATTTTGGGACATCATTTCAGGTGTGCAGATAGTCGGTGAGCCCTCACGGGGCAAGGATACGACCCGTGGCTAGAGGCGCCGTAGTGGATATGTATATTTTGGATGATTCGTCATCACTATGTAGAGACATGATCCGTGTGTAGCATTGTGCTGCCATTATTTTGGAGGACATGTATTTATTGCTTAGTAGTGTTTTATTCATTTTGGGATCATAATGTCTGATCCACTATACTGTATATGGTCTGTATATGTTTTTTACATGTTTTCAGATTTGATGCATGTACATTAGTGTATTCAGGCATGTTATATGACGACGTAGTGTTCAGATATGTTCATGTGCTGAGATATTTATGTTGTTAGACATAGTGGCACTGAGCCAATTATGCATTTGCTCATGAATGGGTATTAGGTCCGTTGTTGGACAAAAATATGATTAAATGTTATGATTGATATAATATGTTTATCAGGTATGGATTATGAGAGTGGGGTTTAATGCCCATTTGTTTGGTTTACAGCCGTTACACTGTTCGATTTTGGACTTCGTTTGGACTGACACTTGTTGTTATATTTAGATGGTCAATGATAATTGATATTTATGACACTTAATTTTTACTCTTGATTAATGATTTTTGGATGGTTTAGTGTGTAAATGATGGTCTTTGGGTTAAATTAGTTGTTGGGTTTTTAATTGGGTTTATTTTGAAATTCGTAATAAAAATCCAGATTTATGTTACTGCAATATTTTGACCATAACTTATTTCACAGATATCTGATTGACCCTATTCTTCTTGCGTTTTGTAGCTAACTCAGAGGGTTACAAATGATATGAAGACATGAAATCCCAGTTCGGACAATATGATGGTCGAAAATTGATCCCGAGTTCGTCACGAGTTGCTGCAGTTTTAATTAGTTAAATGGATTTAAGTTTGTAATTGGGAATCCAATGGCTATGAGGCCCAAGTCCATTATTTATCTTTTATTTACTTTTATACAAGGTCAATATTGTAGAGCCTATATAAAGGCATGTTTAGGAGACCTTGTCATTCAATTTTAGTTTTAATTTTTGTTAAATTATTTTCAGTTTGTTTTTATAGTTTAGAGATTAATACAATTTTCTTTTCTTCTCTATTCTGTTCTTTGCTATCTTCTTTTTAATCATGAATTTTGAGTTAGCCATGCTAGGCTAAACACTCTTTAATCAATCCAAGAATTAAGGATTTCACGGTTGAATCTGTAGGACCTGCGCTTTAATCAACCTAAATCATTTCTCTTTCTTAAACTCGAATTCGAGTTCTGTGATTGCAGCTAAGGTAAGTGATTGAATGTTATATTTAATGTTTAGCTTGATTAACCCGATGATTTTAAGTCAAACAGGCTGATACTCCGCGATTGCGCGAGTATATGCGCCGTATTGATCAAACGCTAGGCAATCGTCTAAAGAGAGGTTCCTAAGAAATTATAAGGATTCCGAATTGCTTAGGGTCAACCACGATTTGGGAATCCTTTGTCCAATGATGGATATCTTGGAATCCTAACTCTCGGGTTGATTGCTTTTAATTGATAATTTCGGTTTTTAAATCCTTGTTTTTTTTTACTTTCTATTTTTAATCACACAAACCTCACCCCTTTTTACTTTTTGTTTTTAATTAACCGATTAAGATCCTTGCAAAATCCTTGAGAGAGACGATTCATGTTGACCACTTTATTACAGATCCTTATTTTTACAAACCTGATTAATTTGAGTGAGTTCGACGGCTCACGTCAGTCAAGGGCCATTGCATATGATCATGTATGAAAGATGAAAGTTTAGAAAAGAAATTATGATTGATAAGAAAGCTGGAACGTAAGGCTATATATTATATGAAACGCAATAAAGAAAAGGAAAAAGTTAGCTCCTATTTTTGTAAGTTAATGCAAGATTATAAGTTAAGTCTTCCGCTGACGCATGTTTTAGTATCATATGTATGTTAATTGAACTGGCTCGAGACGAGGATGTTACAAACCTCATCAAAGTAGACTCGACAAGAGAGTCCAAGCCTTGCTCGACAAGCTTGTGACTCAAATAAACGCAAGAAAAATAAGGATTAACCTTAGCTTCCTTCTTCGATTTTGGCGATCTGGAATTAATAACCTTAGACGAGGCCCCCCATCCACAGATTGATGGGGAGATGCTTTCAATAAATTTGGTCCAATTGTCCTCTCCCGCAGGCTTTCAAGAACATTCGGGGTGATTGGGATAGCCAACCTCGGTGGAATTTAAACAATTGAATCCGAGGAAGATGGAACCATAGATCTTAGAGAGTAGCCACGACCTCGGCTACTAGGGCGATGCGATCCAGATCTCTTTTCTACTAACCCCGCTATGATAACCTCAAAGCATCGCCTCTTGTTTCTCCTTTTCCGGTCGATCTATGCCCCAAAAAAATATCTAGGTCCAGGAGGAAGATTCCGAGTAAATTCGGCCTCATCTTCCCCCGCTCCATCACCACGGCCAAAGCCTTGTGGACAACTTGAATTACATTGCCCTCTCATCGTCAACAGAAATCCAAATGTAACAATCTCCCAAGTGTTTCAAAATTTGGGAAGGAAGTAAAGTATGAGCTATTTACCCAAAAATGCAAAAAAAAGTGCCTAACAGTTCCTAAGAACCTAGAACAAAGCACTGGGTAAGGGATATCAGGAGATTCAAGACTAAAGGTTCTAAATGGTATTGTTATTTCTAAGAAGCAGAGTACCATGAATATGAAATACAGTACCAGAAATACACAAACAAGCTAAAAATCAAAATACATGTGAGAATCCAAGTTTAAGGTTCTAAGAAGGTACCGATTTGGGGAATTCTAAGGGCTAAAAAGTGTTCTTAACAAAGAAAATGGAGCAATGGGACCTGCAAACTTCGAAGATTCGATGAAGGAGAACAAAAACTTCAGGGAAATTTAGTGTGAAGATGAGGAGATGGAAAATGAAAATGGGGAGTAAAATGAAGTGTAACGACCGAAGGCGCAAAGTGCAAAAGATGGGGTCAAAAAAGTAAATTCGTTATGGATATAATGATTTTAAAACTGATGGGACAAGCACATTAAATGCGTACAGAGCACCAAGATGACATATAATTGTCTTAGCACGTCCCACTAATCAAAAACCACCATATGTAAAGATGTCATCATCACGCAAGAAACACAAAGGTACAAAATTTTCACCCTGGATCCAAGATCTCGAGGGGGATTGAAGTGTATATTATGATCGTTTATTCACCCAACATGCATTCAGGTCAGAGAGTCAGGGACCCCACAATGGTTAAGGTCTAAAGTTTGTTTAAACTCCGATCAAAGAAAGACTAAGCTTCATTTATACATTCGATTGAGTCCCATACGAGGCCAACAACAAGTTTGATGAGACAAAGCCAAGCAGAAAGTATGACATACCCTGGTAGCCTGGACCCCCGGACTACTAGGCTGATGGGCAAATAAGTTATTTCTCAAAATGACAGAATTGACATTGACAAAATAAGCCAAAATAACAGCAAATAGGCAAAGTTCAAACAAGAAAAATAAATTGATACTGCAGCCAATAGCAGGCAATGAAGAAACAGATATCGGGCTACACCGAGCTATAGCTCGACACAAAATCCAAGATCCTAATGTCAGTCCCATGTTGCAGATAAGACATAATATGTACCCAGGTAGCCTAGACACCCAGACTATCGGGTTGGGGGAAACTATTATGGACCTTTTATACGGGTCCATACTACATAAAGTATAAGAAGAGGCAATGGAAAAAGGAAACTAAGACAACTAAAGGAAAGCATCGATCTAGGATACTAATCCAAATACAACAACAATGAACCTGGACATGGGACTTCAGAGGAGGCACCAAAGGTCCATAATTCCATTACTACAGGTAAATCCTATAAATATGAGGTAAAACCTTCAGGTATGAACACCCTATTCTCTCTCTATTATTATGCTATGACTGTGCACATATACCACCCATTTGGCTAACGCCGTCATTATCAGTGTACAATCATCTGCTACACTGAAAGGTATCAAACCATATATATCTGCGAGAGCATCTAGATTCAAGATCAACTCACTAGTCTCTTGATTAGACATCTTTGTCCCTAGGATATACCACCTACCTTAGCCACTCAAAATAGTAAGAATTTCAAATTTACTAAGCTAACATATGTTTTATTTTCTTCTAAAGGAAATACGTTATGCCATCGATCTTCCCTATAAAAAAGTTGTCATCGATAAAGAATGGACTAAGAGCAAAGCTACACCAAATGACAGTAGCTCAGTTTGCACATGGGAGTTGAGCAGGTGAAGGCTCAGAGCATATGTTTGATTCTTTCCAGTATCATTTTTGGGAGGGGATTAAAACCTTAATCATGGACCCACTCCAAACATGATTGCCTCCCGCGAAGTATAACTGTCCAAAAAAAAAAAAAACAAAGCTACAACATTTCCATTTTATGATAAATTCACATTTCCATTTGCTGACACTTGATGTTTTGTTCTCCTAAATAGAGCTTACATGATTTTTTCTAAGGAAAGCGGGAAAAGGAAACTATCAACATTATTAATTAATGCTCTATGATTCTTTATAATGCTCTATCGACCTTCTTGAGTGCTACTCTCAAACCGCACACTTGAAGAAGATGTGCTGGGTAGATCTTTACGTGCAAAAAATGTTGCTTGTTTAGGGATTGGAAGAGTTATAGTCTCACTGTCAAGCATTGTCAAAATATTTGACATGGTTGGTCGATCATCTGGTTCATCTTGTACACATAAGAGTGCAATACGTGCGCACCTAACAAATTGGTCTGGATTGCAAGTTTCACCTAGAGATAAATCCATTAAATCTAGTAACTTGTTCTCTTCCCATAATCTCCAAGCCTGGTGAGAAATTAATGTTAAGAAACAAATCAGTAAATAAAAAGTATTAAGGAGAAAAATAAATTAAGTGCAATGGATGAAACATACATAACCCTTTTATACAAAAAAAGAAAGAAAAAGAAACATACATAACCCAAAAGGCTTGAATTAGATTGATAGAATCCCGTGTTCTTCTTCCCACTAATAATCTCAAGCAGAACCACACCAAAGCTGAAAACATCTGATTTGATTGAAAAAAGTCCATCCAATGCATATTCAGGAGACATGTATCCACTGCAAAAAAATAAAATAAAATAAAAGTAAAAATCACTGGCATGTGTAAATATACCAAAAAACTTAGTAGAGAGATTAATAATGATACCATAACACAAGAAAAGCATTAACTTTACAATCACATTTAAACATGGAACTTACTAAGTCCCCACTACCCTCTCCGTGTTTGCCTCGGTCTCTTTAGGTCCAAATATTCTTGCCAATCCAAAATCTGAAATCTTTGGTTGCATCTCTCCATCTAGAAGAATGTTGCTGGTTTTCAAATCTCTATGAATTACTCTCAGTCTAGAGTCTTGGTGAAGATAAAGAAGACCACGAGCAACTCCAAGAATTATGTCAAACCGCATAGGCCAATCCAAAAGTACACTTTGTGTTGCATCTTTAAACATTTCCATTTATTCGAAAGAATAAAATTAGTAATTGTGAGATATTAAATATACTAAAAGACGGTGATAAATAATAGACTTAGAGACCAACCGAATATAAATAAGTCTAAGCTCTTGTTAGGCATATATTCATAAAGTAATATTTTTTCTTCTCCTTTTACGCAATAGCCCCGCAATCTAACAAGGTTCCTATGTTGAAGTTTGGCAATTAAAACAACCTCATTCTTGAATTCCTGTAAGCCTTGTGATGAAACACTTGAGAGCCTCTTTACCGCAATATCTTGACCACCTTGAAGCTTACCCTGAAACAAAACATTTTCCATATGCCATTACTCCAAATTTGGTTTTGAATGAAAGGTAAAAAAGAAGAAGTTGAGTCAAATCATCACCTTGTAAACTGGCCCATAACCCCCTTTCCCAAGCTTATTTGCTTCTGAGAAGTGATCCGTAGCAACTAAAATGCTCTCAAAATCAAAATAGGGAACCTCTATGCCTTCATTGTCCTGTTCTTGTAATCCCTCCATGTCTATCAAATCTTTTACATGTCTTTCACTGTCATAAAAGCGCCCTCTATTTCTCTGTATGTTTTCCCTGTCTAAATTCGTCAAAGAGATATGTAATTACCTTAATTAAATATTCAACTTATCCATATTCAAGATTTCAGAGCAATTAAAAAAGAGGGAAAAAAAAGAAGGAATTGATATACCTTGCTTAAGAGCTATTTTTCTTCTGCATACATAAGCAAAAATAAGTGTGCATGCTAGAATAACCACTCCTGTAAGACTTAGGCTAAGAGTCAAAGACAGTGAGCTTTTGGAGTTTCCTTTTCTTGTTGAATCTTCTATAGTAGGAATAGGATTAGAAGAGGATATAGCTTCTGAAAAGGCAGCAGAACAAAAATGTGTTTAAATTAAGGGAAAAGTATTTCTGCTTCCGAAAAATATATGTGTGTGTTTCTGCCACGGCTGCAGAAAAATGGAACCTAACATAATCAAGTAATTCAGGTTTTAAAAAGAAAAAAAAAATATGTAATAATCAAGTAAATTCTCCTGTTATGACTTTGATCAACCTAACATAACAAGTTACTTACTTTCTGTACAACTCAAGAGATCGCCATGCCAATAATAGTTTGCATCGCAAAGACACCTGTTTCCTTTGCAAGTTGAATGTTTCCAACCGAGGCAATCAATGGACTCTGCACAAGTGGGTTCGGACGGTGGTTGCCAACTGACCTCTAATTGGTTAGAGCACAGGTTGTCGTTACTAAACGGTGAAGAAATACTGAGATTTTTCTCTCTTTCACCGCAATAACGATTGAAAGAATAGTCCTGAGAAAGCAGAATAGAGAACTTTTTCGAATCTGGGTCCATGCTAGTAATTGGGTAGGTTTGGTCGGTGGTGTTCGGGAAGAAGCTAAGCTGACCTGTTGAGTTGTTGCAGCTGAACTTGAAGTAATTTGGGTCACCACAACTTGGTCCAGTGCTCAGCGGATAAGGGACTATGTTTGTTCCACAAGGCTCACAAGTTTTTGGAGTCGGTTCTGCAAATATAAGTGCATAACAAGTTTTCACACCAATAAGTGTGTAAAAGTCGCTAGTATAAATAGATGGAGAAGATTTTCAACCGATAAGGGGGAGAGAATAAGTTATCACTATATAACACTAAGTTGTTGCAACAGAATTGCCACCACCATCACAAAGAGGAAACTAACACGGGGTGGTCAAATATTAAGAGAAAATAAAAGAATTAAAATAAAGACAACACTATAGCACTAATTATACTGATGTTTACAAGAACATTACCTATGTCTGATTTGTCTACCCGAACAAAGAGCTTACGATCATCACCATCAAGGTACTCTTCTACAAGAGTAGTTAAATTGTGTGTCCAGATCCAACAGGTGGTGGGATTAAGATCACGCCGTGTAGTAGGTGTAGCATATGAATAAGCTTCGCACTGGGGACACGTGTTAAGGCACATAGATTGGCATTCTGATTCGTTTGCTGCTGTTACCTTTTTATCCGGGCTTCTTATTTTCATCATGACCAAGTTCAAGAATGTGGCGTCTTTTGCACATGATGCTGTTTTTCTGATACATCCCTTGCCTTGTAGAGAAGAATCTCCCTCTCTCGTGATGACATCATTTTGAGGAGACATTGGATCAAATCCAGGCAAACACTTGCATATCCTGTCATTGTCATTACAGCTAGAAAAATTCCCACAATTATTATATATCAAACACATGGTTTTGGGCTGCAGCCATTGACTGGATTCCTCTTGGAAATTACCCCTCACCTTAAATTGTATCACACCGGTAGAATTAATAAACAGCCTCGTGTTCTCATAGCTCATGAGACTTAGGTTCTTTGCTATTAGGGTAGTGAAGTTGGTCAACAAAAAGTAAACTTCAATGCTTATGTCACCAGGGGTTGCTTCTGAATTTGATGAGTACTGTTGATCTTCACTCTCCCAGTGAAGTTGGTCATTGTTTAAGATGATGAAACGGGTGTGATCACTTGTTTGAGCCATCTTAAAAGTGAAGCTCCCACTTCCTGGATCTTCAAGACTTCTCCAAGAAGTCAATCCCAAATTCTTATCCATCTTCATTCCTGGCAAGAACGTATCGGTTGGGTGTTCAAAGCTCTGCCATAGTTTTATTCCCAAGTCTTCATCTAGTAACACTAGGTTCCCAGAATCCATCAACTTCACTGTCTTATTCGCGGATGAAGAGTTTTTAAGTTCGGATGACCAGTAGTTCTTCTTCCCAGATGATGTATCTGCTACTACAAGATTCCCATCTTTGGCAATTTGAAAAACTCCAGTAGAATCAACAGTTACAGGTTTGTCTCTATTTGCAACCCACACAACTGTGTATGGTTCTGAGCCATCTTGCCGGTAATACCATATCCCTAAGTATCTTCCTTTGACGCCAGTGATGTTTCCAACAGGGAAAAAGAAGCCTAGTTCAAATTTTTTTCCTGCTGATACAAGGGTAGTTTCATTGCCTATTATCTTCTCGCCTGCGTTTAAAGTATCTCTTGCTAAACATGGTAATGGTGGCTGAGAAAAGCATAGCAACCAAGCATAGAGGTGGAAGAGAATAATAGCTCTCATGTTATCCATAATTGTTTGTAACGGGTGTGAAGAGAACAGTAACAGCGAGACTAGGAGAAGAGGAAAACTTGTGGTTCTGTAAAAGGAGTTATGTACCACAGAATTAACTCGGGAGCACAGCCCGGTCATGCATCTAAAGATAGAGCCACAACTCTCAAAATCCCTTTTTGCCACGCCTAAAAGTCTTGTTATTAGAGATAACAGGACCCATTTTATCATATGCGAGGAGGGACATTGATCGTAGTGTCTTGTTTTTTAATATAATATACTTGAATGTTACGGAATCAAAAAAAAATTTCAGACTGTCACAGTACTATAGTTGCTGAGATAGTTAGTTACTGTGAACTGAACACGTGTTACGTTTTCAATGACTAGACACACAACTCATTCAACCCAAAATAGCTGACTACCTGAGCTACTTTGGTGCGATCAGGCCTTCTAGCCACTAAAAAGTGACACGTATCTCATAGTAGCTGATTAGTTTAGCAACTACAGTGAGGTGCCAGTTTCAAATTTTTTTTAACTCTACGACATTTAAGTATATTATATTAAAAAATGTGTCAGTATGGTCAATATCGACGGGAGAAGGGCATGAATCCGGTTAGTTGAGGGAGTCGCACCAATCCCCAATATTATATATTTTATGTCACGCCTAAAAGTCTTTGTTATTAGGCTTAATAAGACACATTTTATCACATAGTTGAAGCACGTGAATCCGGTTGACTGAGTTAGCGACACCAATGTCCAATATTATATATTTTATCACGAGACCTGTAGGATTTTCTCAAAGAGTGGATTTATCATACTCTATCACATGGTAGCCAGTAGGTCCCGTTGAACCAGTAATAGATTCAACTATAACATCAACAGTTTAAATAATGAGGAGTTACGTCTCAAATTCAAGTTCGGGATTAGAGAAAATGGTTTTCGAAGAGTGACCTCTTATAATATGTCTAATCTTATTTGAATTGGATTAATTAATTTAAGGATTTATATTTCTCTTATAATTGCAGAAATATAATCTCATGTTATAAACTCATTAAACTGTGTACTTTAATTTTTTATTTATTATTTAAAAAAATGGATTCCAGTGATGAGTGTCTTTGTTACAAAATCTGATGTCGATATAAAGCCCATTAAATTATTGATGAACTAATAAATATTTTTTAAAATAAAAATGGAACTCGGACTATTTATATTTTTTTCCCCTTACAATTGGTCGTTGTTTGTCCTTGGCTCACATGCCATCTTGGCCCTACCTCTCCTTCAATAAAACAATTAATTATTCTTATTCCATAGTTTGGTTGATAAATGTTTTGTTTGATTTAAATCTGAGATTTTATTATTTTATGATTTATTTTTAATCAAAACGATTTCATTAAAATTTCAAATATTTTTTATGATTTTTTTATGTTTGAATTTTACGTTTTATAATTTTTTATTCTCCTTTTAGATTTTTACAATTTTAATTACCATGTTCGTGACCTTAAGACAAACTACAAACGAGAAACGACCCTTCGACCCTCCCACGAGAACGACAAAATTTCAATAATGCAATGCTTACTTCAAATTGGTTGGTTTGTATTGATACGTATGTATTGGAAATTTGTTGATACTCTTAGGACCTGTTTGGTACAAGGATTTTGGGGAGATTACCAGTAAACCTTGTGTGGTAATGATAATTACCATGTTTGGTACAAGGATCCAAAAGCCAATTCCTAGATATCCTAGTTTTACCGGTAATCTCATTTACAAACAAAAGTTACTATGCTGATTACCAAAAAATGTGTGGTAATTGACGATTGCAACGCGAAGGGAAATGATAACTACTATTTTTTAGACTAAATTACCCCCAACACACATCAAATCTAGATCTGGTGTCATTGTTACTCATTTCCTCTTGCGCTGCTTTCGTCAATAGTCGGTAAGCTTCTTCGTGTGTTCTTCACCTCGTTTATTCTTGTTTCGTTCATGGATGCGAATGAGTTGTGTGGTTTAGGCAATATTCCCGGTGTCTTCGCTGGCGAGCTGACTCCTCTATTTCCTTTTTGTTTTTTTTTTCAGCACCCATGAAAACCTAAGTTTGGTATCTCCAAAATCTAGTCTTCGTGGTTGCGCTCGTTTGAAGGCCTGTAGGTAAGCTTCAAGTTTGCAGTAGGTATTTAAATTGATTTGTGTCGTTCACTACCAATATTTTGTGGTTGTGTTGTTCTGCACATTCATTTGTTATCTTTTACTAGCTGTCTTGAAATAATTTTTTTTTGGCTTTCAATGATCAAGTTAGTGAAATGCCATTGATACAATAATCATTTTTTTTTTTGCATTCATTTGTTCTGCACATTCATGTGTTGTTCACCGTACCAGTCTCTCTCTTTTAAACTCTATTATTTTAATACAGTAAAATTTGTATGCACAGTCAGAATAAAAATCTATTAAAGAAGTGATGGGAAGTGTTTTTTTTTTGGACTAAAAGATATAATACTTATTAATGATTATTGTTTGAAAAACAGGTTGAAAAACATGCAGAATCACAAATACTTAATAATTTGGGCACCTCTAAAATCTTTTCCCCCAGATGCTCGTTCGGCCAAAAGGGGAGGCATAAAATTTTAGTAATTGATTGGCTTCCAAATATTGTAGCTATTCATCTTGGAGGAATGGCTTGTATGGCTTGCTCACTCCAAAGAATATAGTCTTCAACTATGCACATCAATTGGGAGAGATACCCTTCTTGGGGGATTCAATTGGTGGACATTTGATATGACAAATTAAAAAAGCCATGTAAAAAGTTGGATGTGTGAATGACATTCAGGTCACCATACCCCATATGTTGGAAGGAACTAGAACCCTAACAATTAGAAAGTGTAGGGACCTGGATGCTGGATGCAGATTTTGATAGTTTTGGAATCAAAATCCAAACAAGTAATAACTATAAATATAGAGGAATTACATTTTTTAACTTTGATATATTTTGAATTCTCTGTACATAGCCTAAAACATCAACATAACTGATTTATTTTTTATTTTAATTTGAACTGGTTGCAAGTTATGATTATTAGGGACTTGAAAACTCAGTATGCATTTGTGCATCATAACTTAGTGACATGTGTGTCAATGATAAGTATATTTATAAACCCCAATTGAATTAGTCTAAAATAAATCACATAGACTCCATATCTTGACCAACAAATAATGAATAGGTGAAGTCCTTATCCAACAAATAATGAATTGGATTAGTCCTTATATTGTATTTGTTGTGGATCTCTATCAATAACAGATTTTGAAAAATAAGCATTTTGTGTACCAAACTAAACTATGATTTTAAGTAGTATGTTTTAATATGGATTTGTGGATGTATGTTGACTTTTTTTGTTTTTTAAACTAGTACATTCTACGTCAAATCAGTTTGGTATTTGATGTGTTGTCAATATTGTTGAGGTAAATATTATATCAGGGCAGGTATATAACTTTGATACTGTTAAATTGGGACATACCATGATAAGTCGATGGTTGTTAATTGAAGTGCTTCTTACTCAAGTATTATTCAAAAATAGCTGATCAAGTGATTAACCTATGCTTGTCAGAATGACTTGTGTATATGTCCATTATATTGTCATCGTTTTCCATCGTTGTTGCCTACTGTATTGTCGTATAGTTTTGATTATTCCTTTTGTCATCTTCGTGATAGATTATGGCAATGAACAACGGAATGAAGAAGCGTGTCGTTGTTGTAGTCATAACGTATTTGGAGTCTTTGAATCGATTGATTGCAATATTAATTAGTATGTGTGCTTTGTTATTGGCGAATATTGCAAGACGGAGAAGTAACAGGAATAGATTAATTTGGGATTGTTATGGTAGGGCGTCGTCTAGGGAAATCAATTTCCATAGAATAGTTTATATGAGTGACAGGGCTTGTATTGAGAATACAAGGATGGACAGAACTTGTTTTTTTAAGTTGTGTGAGATGCTGAAAACTGTTGGGAGGCTTGAAGCCACCCGACACATGGGGGTAGAAGAGATGGTTGCATTATTTCTTCACATCTTGGCGCATGATGTTAAGAATAGAGTTATTAAAAGACAATTCATGAGGTCTGGCGAAACCATAAGCAGACAGTTCACAAATGTCTTGCTGGCTGTTTTACGTTGTCATAAAGTTTTACTCAAACGACCTCAGCCAGTCCCCGAAAATTCAACTGATGAGAAGTGGAAATGGTTTAAGGTATACAATAATTTTCGTCATGTTATCTTCTTCATCATGAAATGCCATACTTTCACATTTCGTGTGTGTATTGATTAGTTTGTTTATTATTTTTATTAATACAGAATTGTTTGGGAGCTCTGGATGGGACACACATCAAGATCAACCCCTTACAAGGTGATAAGCCTAGATATCAGACTAGGAAGGGTGAAATAGCAACAAATGTGTTAGGTGTTTGTTCTCAAGATTGTCAGTTTATATATGTATTGCCTGGATGGGAGGGATCGGCTGCAGATTCGAGAGTCCTCAGAGATGCTATATCTCGAACGAATGGATTACGGGTGCCAAAAGGTTGGTCAATTTTATCACGAGTTCATGATTGACACATTGGTTACACAAGATTTTGAATTATATGTTGATAAAAAAAAATTATTCGTAGAATTTTATTATCTGTGTGATGTTGGTTACATGAATGGGGAAGGATTCCTTGCACCTTATCGAGGGCAAAGGTATCATCTAAGCGAGTGGAGGCAGGGAGCACATCCAACAACACCACAAAAATTCTTTAACATGAAACACTCTTCCGCCAGGAATGCCATAGAGCGATGTTTTGGGATGTTGAAGGGGCGATGGGCGATAATAAGGTCAAAGTCATTTTATCCGGTCAAAACACAGTGCAGAATAATAACTGCATGTTGCTTGCTTCACAACCATATTAGGCGAGAAATGGCAAGTGACCCTATGGATGACCATGCAGAGGATATGCAAGAGACACATCCTGATGTTGGAGATAACATGCTCATTACTCATGTAGAGTCATCTACTGCTTGGACTAATTGGAGAGATAATTTGGCGCAAGAGATGTTTAACACTTGGAGGAGACGTGCATGATGATTGGCATTATCTCTATCGTTGTTATTCGTAGTTAATTATTTATATTGTCATCGTTTGTTGTACTCATAACTGACATAGGTCCCTTATTTTCTGTTTTCATGTAATGCTACCTACTGTGTTAATTATGCTGTTGTGGTTGACTGAATGCTCTAACTTTGCTATCTTAGTTCGATTTCAATCTAGGTTCTTATTGTTTCATGTTTTTTTTCTACACTTTCTCTATATTATTTTGATTCAACAAATAGATGGCTGAATCAAGTCAACAGTCGACAAAAAGAAGTCACCATACTTGGACCGCTGAAGAAGACAAGGCACTTATGGAGTGTCTTCTTGACATAGGTCCATCTTGGAAAGGAGATAATGGCTTTAAGGCAGGATTTGCTGTTCACCTAGAGAAACAATTACAACAGAAGCTTCCCGGGTGTACATTAAAAGCCATCCCACATATAACATCCAAAATTAAACTTTGGAAAAGACACTACAGTGCTATATGTGAAATGACAAGTCCGAATGGTGGGTCTGGGTTCGGCTGGAACGATAAGGACAAGATGATTGTTGTGGAAAAGGGCATCTACGATGATTGGGTGAAGGTGCATGATATATTTTTACCTATGTTGCGTAATTGATTTTTTTCCCCTTACTTATTTACTACACTTTTGTTTTGTAGACTCACACGAATGCAAAAGGGCTTTACAATAAACCATTTCCATATTATGAACAACTCGGGCCAATATTTGGCAAAGACGTAGCCACAGGAGTGAATGCTGAAGGGCCTGAAGATGCAATTGACGAAATGGAAAGAGAGGCTCCTGTGTTACCTGATACAGAGAGCATAAATGATGATTTCTTTGAGTATATGCAGGATCTGACACAAAACCCTATGTATGAAGCAGAAATGCCTGACACTATTACCCAAGAGGGTGTGCAGAATTCTCCTGTTTCTAATTCTGTCCCTAAGAGGGGAAAGAAAAGAGCCAGGAGTGAAGATGCCCTAGTTGTAGTTGTGGCCGATGCAATGAAAGGTAATTACATATCTTGTACAATAAAATACGACATACAATTACGAGTACAATAACCCAAACCACCAGTGCTTTAATCAAATTATCCTTCTTTAAACAGCTAGAGCAGATGGGATCATCAACCCACTCAAAGAAATTGCAATTGTCACTTTGTTTGAAGTTTGCGCATCCATAGAACTTCCTTCCTGGATTTTTTGTTATACGAGACTTCCGTAGCACAGCCCTCATTCCACAGTCACGCATTTTGACATTTGATTCACATGAAGATGAAGAATGCACAGAAAACACACTTTGACACCCACTTACAGTAGAGCGATCTCCACCCATGACACCTATGTTCTTATTCGTGATGGTTGCAAACGATTAAATAGCCCCCTACAACAAAGAAATAAATCGATACATTTTATACACACATGGCACTCCATAACATTCCACTACATCTGTATTCAAAGCCCTTTCAAACAACCAAACAACAGTGCATGTTTTCCCCCTAAACACACAACGATGAAAAGCAGAATGGAAACTACCAATATAAAATGGTACACAATGGCCAGGTCATAAACCAGCCTACAAAAATTACTCACGACAACCTTCTTTTTCTGCAATAAACTATCCATTGACCAACAAATCAATCAATTGAAACAAGCACAACTTTGCAACACCAGACAAAAAAAAAAATAATTCAAGGGAGCCCTATCTCAATATTTCCACACCAATGTACAGGGACCAACACATGAGAGATATACATTGCACAGAAAGGAGAGAGTATTGAAATAAAAATAAGAGTTAAAAACAAAAACCAAGACAAAGACCTGAACCACTTCTAGATGAAATGTCTTCGTCGTTGGTTGTGGATGAACTTATAACAGTGTTCGCCTCTGCACTCTCTACTTCCCTCTCGTCTCAGTTCCGTCTCATCCGAAAGACACCCACGGTTGACGATAGTCACAACAAATCAGCTGAATCCTGCTTGTATTCCTTGTTGTGAGACCAGATTTAGCACATGGGATGTTGGGACAGATGTTGACGAAACCCTATTTTCACGATTCTTCTTTCAACGGGTTTGGATGTAACATTACGTGTATCAATTTTGAAACTAAAAATATGTAGGGGTTATTTTTGTAATATAACATCGTATTCCCAGTAATATTCCATTCTAAACCAAACATAGAATCAGTAATCCTTACTCAATATTCCCGGTAAAATTTTGGCAAACCAAACAACTTTTTTATAACATTCCAGGTAAACTCAATTCCTACTGAATTCTCAGTAATTGTGATTCCCGGCACACAAAAAATTTCTCCTGTACCAAACACACCCTTAGGTGATTTTAGTTTATACTTTTGTAATTAGTTTTTAAATTTTATAACAATACAAGTGAGACATAATGATTAAATAAATAATAATAATAGATTTTATATTTGTAAGAACTAAAATGACGCATAATATATTAATGTCTTTACTTTAATACAATATTTACATTTTCATTTAGTATTGTGTTAATTACATACTCCATCTTTCAAAATACCAGCTGTTTTAGAGTGTTTCGTTTTATTTGTTACTTTGAAAATCAAGAAGGCACTAATTATTTTTTCAATGTGATTTGATTATTATCATCACTAGATCTCATTTCAACTGTAAGAAAAGTGTGTATCATCTTAAAGGATATAAAATTGTATTATTTTAAGTAAAAAAAAAATATCAATAAAAAAGGAGAGAGTGAATAAAAAAATAAAAATATAGATATTATTTCTTTATAAAAATAAAATAATATAAATTATGTCATTTAAAATTACAAATATTTTTCCCTTCAACTATAACGAACAAGAGATAAATGGTAACAAGTAACAACAATATGTTTCATCACCTCTCTTATTTTATTTTTTTTTATTTTTTTATTTGCACGGTTAATTAGAACAGGACAAGAGTACTGAGTACAGATCACTTTTATTCAAAGCTGACAGTCATGTTACAATGGTATGATTGTCCCACCTGTGTAGTCCGTGTAATGAGAGGACGTTCTCAGTCCACTGTTTACAGTTTTTTTTATGAGTTTAATATTTTTTTTGTTATATAAAATAAAAATTATATATATATATATATAAAGTGTATAAAATTTATTTTTTTTCTTCAATATTATATAATTTTTATACATTTTTATGTGTACGTAAAAAATAAAATTATTTTTTAACATGAAAAATATTAAAAAAAATCATTACGTTTCAAAGGTTGAGATCGCGCACAGTTTTTTAAAAAGCTGTAGACCATGTGCAATAGGGTCAGAAATTTTTAGGTTGCAAAGTTTATTGTCGGGGTGGGGATAATATTATGATAGGCTGAATTACATACAGACAAAAAAGGGTTGACATTTATTGGCATACCTCTTTGCCTTATATCATAAAATGAAACGATGATAATTGTGGCTATGTTTGATTGTTGTTTTTAAAAATAACTTTTTAATTTTCAGAAAAAAAAAATTAAAAAACTCGTTTGATAAGATTTGTTTTGTAAAAAATATTTTGAAAACTATAACTATTTTTTTGTTTTTAGAATCAAATTTAGATAACATGTCTGAGTTGTTTTTGTTTTCTGTTTTGATTTTTAATTTTCAAAAATTAAAAAATATAGAAAATAACTCTTTCCATAACTATTTTACAAAACAGTTTTAAGAACAAAAAAACCAGAACACAATCAAACAGACCCTGTATTTCTGTTTCTGTTTATCTGCCTTAGTTTTGGTTAGAGATTAATAATTAAGTAAATACCTTTTTTTTTTTCCCTAACAAAAAATACGGTTTCCATTTTAGTCCCTTACAAAAATAAATTAGTCAGTTAGTTCTTAACAAATTCAAAGTGGACTTATTTAGTTAAAATCGTGGTCCCTCACAAATTCAAAAAAGACTCATATTAGTCCCTCAAAAGGACTAAAATGGATCTACTTTGAATTTGTTAGGGACTAACTGACTAATTTATTTTTGTAAGGGACTAAAGTGGGAACCGTGTTTTTTGTTAGGACCAAAAAGAGTGTTTACTCTTAATAATTTTATCTCCTATAAATATATAAAAATATATGAAACTTATATGGGATCATATATGAAAAAAAAAGAAAAAAAATATAAATCTATATATTTTTATGTGTATATAAGAGATAAAATTATTTTTTATAAAATGAAAAGCGCTAATCCCTTTTGGTTATGCTCTTAATTTGAATTATCCCATTCCAAATGATAAACAAATCACTCTCTTTGTTGTCCGATTTTATGAACTTGGGCTAGTGATAAAGTTCCTGCGACCGAATGATCAAATTAGTAGTTTGTCACCAATTTTGGTAGAGGAAAAAATCATGTTGACTTTTACTTTACGTAACATGAGACAAATGTAAACCCAAGCTCAGGGCCCAATCTCAAGTCTCACCAATCTTTTAAAATGATGGTTCATAGCCCAATGCATAATTTATTAACCTGTTTAAACACCAAATCATAACATGTAACGACCAAAAAATAAAAAAAGAGACTATGTATTTGAAAGTTGAAAGTATAGTCATGACATCGCGTGCCTAAGGAGAATTCTCTGAAGTATGTTTACGTGGAGGAGAAATGAAGAAAGAGGAAGAGAGAAAAGGTTTGAAATAGAAAAAAAAAATACAAATTGCTTTTATTATCATCCATCTAAATGTGTTAAGAAGCTGATATGGAATTTGAATCAGTTAAAGTAAGAGATTTAAATTGAAAAAAAATAAAGTAAATTAATATTTTTTTTACCTTCAACTAAATATATATTATGAAGTAATTATCCAATTTACCAAAATCATTGTTTTGCACCCATTACCTTGCGCCTCTTCCCCATCACCAAATCAATAAATTTAAAATATCAGTCTATTTCTCATTTCTTGTGTTTTCGCGACTTCATACACCGCTACACTTTACACACTTGCCCATCTTATCGCCACATGCCCTACTTGCACTTTATCCATTTATG